ATAGGCTAGGCCTATGCTACTGGTATTATTATCATTATTACCAACTCCCTCGTATTTACAACAATTTGCATTGATCTGTTAAATGCTTCTAATTTATGTGAACAAATTAAGATTTCTTTTTGGTAAATTAATGTTGCAGAACAGAATAAACATTTTTTTTTCTCATTTTCCAATTCACAGCAGCAGGTGAGCTAACTAATCAAAAATAAATTTTATATTTATTTTAAATCCTTATTTTCGTCAACAGTGGATTTGCAAAACAAAATATCAAAAAATCATTATATGTTGACTTTCTTTCAGAATTTGTTGGTAAAGGAATTTTTCTCATTGAAAACTCATGAAGTAAGAAAGCGTTGATGTTTGTTTAAAGCCTTAATGCGGCAATCGGAGAAACAGGAAATTACCTGACTTTCAAAGGTGAATAATTTTTTTTTAAGTTTCAAGTTTTAACACTTTAAATATAGGAACTCACTAGTACTAATGGTGGAGGTTATCAATTAATCAATAATGTGTGTAAGGCCTACTGCATAAAGGATATTAACATTGTAAGTATATTGCACAATATTTTAATGCTTTAAAAACTAAGAAAAAAAAGGATGAAACAACTAATTAACCGACTTATGATTAAGAAGTGTGTTAGTCTCTTATTTCAGCTACCGCATATCATACTCTTATTTTAATACATTCATGTTGAAGGAAAATACAAAATTTAAAATGTGGGTAGAAAATTTTAAGATACATTTTCAATACTAATTAATTACTTGCCTTAAAGACACAAACAGCAAAATCTGTTTAATTATTATGATTTCAAATTTTAAAACAATTAGAGCATTAATCATATTCCAACTGTCAGTTCTTGGTTATTTTGCCCAGCCCCTCAATTCTTTATTTTGACCTAGTGTATGTATTATTATGATTTTTCATGACTCACTTTTTTTTTTCAAAAAAGAGTTTCAAAATGCATAAGACAACTGTACGTATCACTTTGCTCCGATTAAAAGAATTGTTTTGTTATATCTTTCAGCATGTGAAGCAAGGGTGAAAATCCGAAGCCATCTTGATTCAATATTTCAAACTTAGTTTGGTCACTCTGCAGAATCTACAATGGCATCTTTCAGCAAGATTTTAAATTTACTCTGCTACCATTGGACAAGAAAAAGCACGGATATAGACAGCTCCGGCTTCAATATCATACAGAAAATTTCTGGTTTATACACACCTGTAACGCGACAGATTCTTGAACAGGGTTTTGTATAATAAACTCTAGTTGACGCCTTAATATAAATTACAAAAAAAAAACTGATTTGAAAACTGTAAAGCATTTAGGTACTGCTGGAATTTGAGGTATGTGCATCAGTAAGGCTTAAGACGAACAATATTATGTGAAGGGGTATGCAATTTATGGATAGTTGATGTATTTAATTAAAGAAATCATGGTTTGTATATCTTGAACTCAGTGTATTTTTTATGTCTGCAGGAGTTGTTTAAGCCATTATTATTTTTTCCGTCCAGTAGCCACTCCAGCTCGAAATCAAACGCATCAGTCATTCAATACTGCTTGTGCATGCAAACAACTTATTGTGGAACCAACGGATGTCACCAACCAGCTAACCCGTCAGTAACAACTTGCATTAACATAAACAAACAGTATATATTTACAAAAATAAGAAATTTATATGAATCTGTTATAAATCATTATATACAGCTTTCTTATAAGAATCTTATGAGACAAC